CTTTTCCAACCTTAATGATTCTATGAAATACAACAAAACTAGAAAAAGAAGACATGGCTCTTGGCTCCTCAAACTAGTCATTTTTGTGCAGACAATGAAGAATATCACAAAGCACTAACAGAAAAGGGACTGGGGAAGGTCAGTGGGAGTATAGACAGCGAGATTACACAAATCCTCAGCAGTACTTTGCCATAGCGTAATGAATGCTTTTAAGTAAATGCAGTTCCCACATGTTGTGGGAGAAGTGAATGCTGAGGAAACATTTTGATGAGGATGAGGTGAGGTTTTCTGGTGGATGCCTGTACTTTCTTCCATCTCACCTGCATCATATTGTCTATTACTAGTTCTTGAAGCCATGCTCCTGCTCAGCTTAGTCGTATTCTTGTGTCTTGTCACAATGATAGCCACGCTACAGGGACTCTTCTGTTTTTACTGTGGATTTGTATCTACTTATCCATAGAATTTAAGGTCAGAACAAGTAATTTATTTTTGTGTCCCATGTAATGCAGGCCATATTTTCTGCTAAATATTTTTTTTCTGTATATCAGATGCCTTGTAGTTGGATTGAAACATAAAACATAGCGAAGCTTATCAATAACTCATTTAGCTGTTCTGGTAATGAAGACTGACTATATCCCCTGGTTAAAAATTCAATTAAGAATTTACTTTGTTAAGAAGGCTGAAAAAAGGTTGTATGTGTCAGTCTGAAGTTGTACTGAACCAGCATTGTAGCAGAGTGTAGGTGGTAGTTACCACTCAGCAGGTCAGCAGTTACACTTTAAACTGAAGTCTTGGCTACAAGTCCTTTCTGAAGTTCATTACAACTTTTCAAGTGTATCAACATTCCAGTGCTGATGAAAATCCATGTGTGCCATTTGAATAATTGAGTGTTTTCCCTCCCTAAACTCCTTTGCAGCCCGATTGTTTCTGTTCTAGATAGTTGTGTTGCAGTACTCTACAAGAAGCAGCAACTTGTTCTTATTCCCAGTGATTCTATTTTTCATGAGGAGGTTGAAACACGTATCGTAGATCTATGTGTAGAGAGGCTTAATGTGAATGTTTTCATATGAGTTTGAAGTAATGTAAAGCAGGATACATGTAAAAAAAATTAACAGTGAATGACATAGCCTAGCCCATAGTTCAAATGTCATTAAGGTCTCCGAGACAGGGATTGCCTGGTTTTATGTATTTATGTATAACACCTTGTGATATTACAAGGAACTGTTCTGGCTTGGTTTTGGTGCTGTTAAACAGAAGGGGAAAAAAAAGTTATTGTACAGAATGTTGCTGTGAAGTGTAATTAGGAATGTTTTGTTTTTAAAGAACTTTGTAAACAAGCTTTTAGATTTTCTTACCAGTAATGGTCCTGTTGCTTCAGTTTTTTCTAGCTATAATAAAGTTAGATGGCAGCATTTTCAAGTCCTGATAGGGAGTGTGTCGTTATATTAATTATCGTAGTACGAAGAGGGTAACTGAAGGAGATGGGGGGGGAAAAAAACCAAACCCCATTTCATTGTGAAATGAAATGAAAACTGAGCATCAATGACTTAAAATCCAAAGTAATTTGTCATGTTATTCTTGATGGTTTGTTCTAGCTTTTTAATTCTAAAGTCTGCAAACAGATTAACTCCATGCCAAAAGCTGTTGTATAGTTACTAGTTTTTTAAATACGGTTTGATCTTGAAAATCAGCAGTAAATATCAACACTGGTCATCAGTGGCTTATATTACATCTGCTCAGTGTCATCAAAGTAGAAGAAAAACATATTTTCGTAATGCCGCTTTGCAGACTAGAATTGTACTTAATCTTCTGCTTGATCTTCTGGTTACAGAGAACATGGAAGCTGAAGTATAGATATGATAACTCTGTGTTTACATTTTATATGAGTAAAGGTCCTATCTCTTTTACTTTCAAGCATTCACTCAGCTTATTTGTAGTCTTTTGCTGTAAACATGGGAGCTCTAATTTTATAACTGTGCCAGTGTATTTTTAAATGTATCATGAAGCTGTGGCATCTTAGATTAATCTAAGTAATAAAGATTCCTGTTGTTCAATTGTCTTTAAGCAAGAAAGTTTAAAACCGTGCCTGTTGCAATTAACCCAGAGTGTATGTTTGTGCTATCTGCCGTTTATAGCTTGCATACAGACTTGCTCAGAAAAGTTTCTGGTTTCTCTGAGCACCTCTGCTTTATCTTTAGTAAGGAATCTGTTCAGCTTTTCTGTGGAAAATAGTTGAGTTTATTATTAAGAGTTTGTTTAAATCTAGGAAAAAATAAACAAAACCCCAAACACCAGAATATTTGTGTTCCATTTATTTACTGCTTGCTGTTTCCTATTTGCTCATCTGCTATCTGTCATTGAACTAAAATAATTTCTTCTAAAGAAAATGCTCCCAAGCAGTGTTCTAGGGTAGCACATAATGAGCTCTCTCTCATGCTGTCATGTGTTATCTCTATTGGGTGTTCAGGGCTGAGAATTGTTTATTGACAGAAACAATAATACATGGTTCCTGCACATATTTGGTTTTAAATGCTATGAAAAACTTTGTTGTGTTCATAGTTAGGTACTGCAATAGCAATTTGCTTTAATTTTATTTGACTGAAAACAGTTTACAATAAGTACATTTGTGATATAGTATTAGTTGAGATTGCATTTTATGTGCTAGAGAAGGAAACTATTTCTGTTACAAAAAATAATTTACAGCAATTGTAACTAAGTCTTAGATGTATTTTTTTTAAGGTACTACATTTTACAGGGGAAGTTATTGGAAATTAAGACTTTTCAAACAGTTTAATCCAGTATGTTGGAAGTAGGGGCGTCCTGGCTCTAGTATGCATCTAACGTACTCATGTTACAACAAGGTCTTCTTAAATACAGGCTCTCAGAGTAATATTGACACCTCTCAGATATTTTACCAGAAGAAAAAAGGACAAAGAGATTGCGTTACACACACAATCATGATACAAAGGTTGTGGATACTTACTGAATGAAGATCACATTAGTTTGTCTAATTTTTCATCAAATCTGTTGACAGTAAATAACTTGTTTTCAGTAGTAATGTGTTTGAATAAACAGTTTCTATGTAATCAGTTGCTATGGTTACCTGTACAAGAACTGTTTCATAGAGGCAAGTTATAAGCTTTTAGAAATAGTAAAGGGCATTTATCATTTCGCCTGAGTCTGGAATTGTAAATTGACCAACTTTTTAGATGTTAAAATTATTAAGTGCCACTTTTGGTGTGGTCTGTCCCCAGTTCATTTTTTCCCTTATATCCCTTTTTTTCATGTAAGTTCTACTAGAGCAGCCATTCACCTCAAATTAAAATGTTACAGCTGTTGTACAAAAGAATATTCTTCTGTTATCTTTCATCTTACCCTCTTTCAGATCTGTCACTAATGCTTCCTGGCTTTGATGTATGCAGTGTTTCCTGCCGCCAGGTGCCAGTCAGGTGGTATGACAACTTGACAAAATTATACTTTAATATTCTACTTACTTTATTATTGTTCTTGCTGTTCATTGGTTTTGTTCACATAAGGAGTCTTATATATGAGAATCATGAACTTTCTGGGCAGGAGCTGTGACTGATAGTTTTGCATTGTACTGTGCAATAAAGTATAGCGGGGTTTTGAGAGAGGGACCTCTGATGCTGTTACATAAGTGATTGACTCTTATAACTGAGGACAGTATTAAGTTATCACTAAATGGTAGTATTTTTGAGACATCAATCATTTTTCTGAAGTTATGAGCTGTCACTTAACTGTTTTTTAAACCCTAGCCTGCTGAAGTCAACAGGAGTTTTGCCACTGACATAATTTTGTTTTGGATGGAAACTCTCTGAGGGCGTGTGCTGTTGCTGTGCAAGCAAAAGCCATAGCAGGTGCTTCTACAGAATGACTCCGAAGTCCATCTAAATTATGTTTATGATAGAACTTCTGCTACTATTTAATTTGTTTGTAGAACATGACACAAGACTACCTGTATTCCTACAATGCTAGAATTTTAAGTTTTCTGGTATGTAAGCTGATCATTTACATGCCATCAATTTGTGAAAGAGGACACAAAGAAACAAAGAATCCCTTGTGCCTAAATGAAAGAAAGCAAGTATATTTTTGTATTGTGCAAAAGAATTTTTCCTGGACATGTTTTACATTCAACTTAGTTCAAGTCAGTGTAATTAATGGATTAATGCAGTGGGTTCTATACAGCTAGGGAGAATGTCTGGACTCCTCTAAACTCTGACTTTCAAGGATCTGAGCTTCTCTGAAGGCTAGCAGTCAGATACGTCTGCTGAATATAACAGACCTGTTTGAATTCTGCCTCAGTAACTTTTAGCTCTTCTACCTAGGAAAGAAATGTTTCAGCAGATAAAAGGATCTGTCTGGTGTGTGGTTGTTTGGTTTTTTGTGTATGTGCTTTTTCTTATTTATTTTCAGTCTACTATGCGCATGATAAACTGGATGATTTCATCAGTACTATTAACAGCCATCTACAGCCTTTGTTTATGCAGATCCGGAAAGGAATGTCGGAAAGCGATGGGAGAGCACATTATGCTTTAGTAAGTATGTGATACGCTGCCATCATGTGGTTTGGCTTCTCATGGCTAGTGCATGCATAGCAGAGGGAGCCTCCCATGTCTCCAACTTAAAATTAACCTTTGAATAACGCCAGTAAATGCACACATTCCAATTGTAAATGGGCAAAAAATCTAGCTGTATCTGTGCATAATGAACGTAACAGTGCCCCAGATGCCATCTTTCGATGTTAGAAAGATTGAGTTACCTGGGGCCCTTTTCCTACAGTGTATCTAGAATAGAACTGCTATTTAGACAAAACAGAGAATCTACAACTGAAGGGTGCATGTGCCAGCAGGCTTATTACTCTTAGCAGTCTTGTGTGTTTTTTGCGGGGCTGTTCCACTGTTACGCTGACAGCTGCTATAGAAGCTACTTGTAGAACAGGGAAATGGGATGAGAAACTGCCAACAGCTTAGGTGCGTGGAAACGAACGTGGCAGCAAGGACTACAAGCAGCGTCTGATTAATTTAGTGTAAACACTGCTGAAGTGCTGAAGTGAGATTTTTTTCACAGAAAACTTTCTTTCTCAAGAGGAATTTTTAAGCTAGAGAAGACAGAGAGCCCTCCAACTTAGTTTTCTTTTTCTCTGACTCAAAAATCAGCCTAGCCTAGAAGGCTTGCTAAGGAATGGCCTATAAAGTTTCCTTGGGTGCTCTGAAATGTGCATGTCAGAGAGGGAAGGTTATGTAGTAATTTCAAAAGACCATACAGCAGGTGTTCTAACATTAGCTGCTGCTTTTAACCTTTCTGGGTCATTTTGCCAATTAAGTTGAAATGATAGCAGTAGCATATGCAATAAGAATATGAAATATCGGTAACTGTTTTTTACTGTGAAACAAAGATGTGTATTGTAACATAGTTACTGCTACTGTCCAGCACAGTATATAGTGTATATACTACTATACACTAATATTCTGTATTAGTTCTATAGGGGGGATGTGGGCAGAGGCAGCTGTGGAAAACATGTGGCTGGAAGATCTGGGGTTGTAAAGAAAGGACTCGAGTACCGTAGAGTACTTAAGGAAGAGCCTCTTTCATGCCTATTAAATGAATGATGTTTCTGTTAATTGTAAGATAATACATTCTTTACCCCAGAGGATCTTTTACAATTTATGATGTACAAATACAAAGACACTTTGATTTCAGTTTCTTTTTTTTGTAGGTGAATTTGGCAGAAACAGAAATAACTAAAATGGCATCTGACTATACAGAAAATGAATTAGAATTGTTCAGAAAAACAGTAAGTATGTCAGTTATTAGTAAATCACATAATTTGTGAAGGTGCCATCTTAAAATGAGTGGAAGTGGCAACAAATGGAGATATGTCTGAGGAACTAGTTGCCATCTTACCTAAGTTTATCCCAAATCAAATGGGGAGAATGGGAGTATATGCAAGTAATGATTCCCTGTTGAAAGTCAGTTATCAGTGCTCCTTGGAGTTAGTGACTTGAGGTACCCGCTTTTAGTTAAACTTTTCTTCAGGATTTTCAGTTGTGATTGCTGAATTTTTCACTGGCTTGAATAGTCTAGTAATATACAGTAGATTTTAATGCTAATAACATACAAGATGAATTTGCCAATTTGAACAGAAACATGTCTATTGTTATTGCTTAGCCAGTTAATTCTGTGTTTACGTTCCAAATAGAACTACTGGGCCGAGATTCCACGATATTTGATGTCCGGTTTCCTATCAACAACCATTAATGTGATCATAGCTATGTATCTTGCGTGATTTAGTGAATCTCATTGTCTCTTGAACTTTGAGGAGTTGATTTCTCCAGCCATTAGACTTTTTGATTCCCCCCCCCCCCATTAAAATAAAATTCTCTGTATAAACTGGAGAGGTGTATTGGCTATTCCGTGACAGCTGCAAAAGTCTAATTCACATGGGTAGTACCCAGAGATTTCTCTGCCCTCCCCCATTATTGCTGAAGTACCTATACAGCCATGTCAGCACTGCAGAGATGGCATTGTTGTGGCACATACCACTACTGGCATAAAAGCTGCATGTTGCTCTGTGATGATGAGCAGCAGGAGTGTTTCCAGTGAGATACTACCTGAAAATTGGTAATATTGCTACAACCTTCAAGTACCAGGTAGGTTCGGCAGTAAAAATGACTCCAGAGCGGACAAACTTACTTTAGTACTGAGAGATTTTTCCTCCAAAGAACCTTGACAAAGAGCAGATAAAAAGAAACAGATCTGTCACCCCGCCCCGAGTATGGTCAGGGGTCCCTGAAATGCAGCTTAATTTAGGCAGCACTGTACAGTTCTATTTGTGTAAATGTTTTCTTGACAAAACTTAAAACTGTCAAGGTTAACAATGATTGTTTCAGCTTTTGACCTTTGTTTTACAGTTCTGGTTCAAGCCAGAACTATACTGTAGTCTCTCCCATATGTATGGATGCTAAAAAAAGCTGTGCATTACTATAAAGTGCGTCTAATTGCATGATTTTTTTAATAGTTGAAAATGTTTCTTTCTGTAGATGGACCTAATCATTTCGTCAGAAAATGGCTTTGCCTCTTCTACAGATATTTTAAACTTGGCTGACCAACTTAAGACAAAGAAGATGAAGAAGAAGGAAGCGGAACAAGTGCTGAAAGTTTTTGTGGACGATAAGTGGCTCTCTGAGGTAACTGCTGTATGTTTTCAAGTGTTCATATTTTAATAGGCCCAGCTAGTATTTTCTTATGAATGTGATGGCTGAAACTGGGCTGTTCTTTAATGAATGATGGCAAAAATGGTTTTGTGGGGCCTGTGCTTATTGCTGCTCCAGTGGTTTTTGCAGAAAAGGCAGCACATTTACAGGGGAAAAGGTCCTTGAGTAGGTCTATAAAAGACAACATGGTTTCAGTTTCATGTACCTGAGCTAGGTGGGGATGTGTGTACAGCCCTGCATTGTGACATACAGACATCCTTTGTACACAACAGCATGGCATTCTTAAACTTGGAACAGGAGTTGGGGAAAGCTCTTCAGGGTGATCAGTGCTGTTCCTTACATTTAGAATATCCCAAAAATCAGTAAGGCCAAACATGTTGAAAACTCCTGTACCAGAAATGCATAGGCCACTGTGCACATTTTTACATCTCCTTTACTTCACAAGGGAGAAATTGAGGTTAGCTTACCATGATGACACTGCAGTTGCTTGCCAAGACAAGCTAGACCTCAATCCCTTTTCTTCTGGATTCATTGTATCATAGATCTCCAACCTGCTGCCACACATTTACATATGTTAGAGTGATTTAGCAGAGATTTTCAAAGATAACTCAAGCAGTAAAAGCCCAGATTTAGCTGAAAGCCAGCAGAGTTTCTGCTAATGGACAAACGGAGGGTCCCAAAACTGCAAGCCTTTGTTAAGGAGAGCATGCTCACTCATCTGTACCTGCCAAGGACTAGATCTCTGTTAAGGGTGTGAGATTTTTATTCTGATCCTCTAAACAAATTCCTTCTGCTACTTTAAAAGTATTCCAGCTTTGCATTATATCAGTGTCATCATCATAGTTTCACAATGGCAGGAAAAAAGTGGATGTCAAATGCTTGCTAGCAGGTAGTTAGAACGAAGTCAAAAAAGTTAAAAGGAATTAAAAGAAATTCCTCACTTCGCAATTTGTTTCCTTAGAGAAATGGAGAATATACCTTGCATACTCGCTGCATAATTGAGATGGAACAATACATTCTCAGCAACTACCAAGATGTGGCAAGGAAGTGTAACATCTGTCACAGCCTTGCCATCCAGGTAACATTTCTTACCTCAGTTAGGCATCTGCTGATATACTTATGTGGTCATAGGTGAAGTTTGTGATGCTTTCCTTTGAGTATTATGCAGGCACTGAAAAATTATAGTCTTCTGATCAGGTAATGGTGCCCATTTATATAAAGGAAATACCTTTTTTTTTTCCCAGAGTAGGTATTTTAGTTTCTGTCTTCAAGGGAAGAAAGAAAGAAAGAAAGAAACAAACAAAAACAAAACAAAAAAAAACCCCACAAACTTGTCTTGGAGCAGTATCTCCAATTATAAACTTGGGGAAAGTGAACTCACCCAATGATGAACATTGTTGTGCTGTCTTGCTTTCCAAGCCAGCAGGCTAGAGATGAACCATTATCCTCAAATAGGCATAACAGTTAAGTGTTATATATCTTATCTTTGGACCTTACAAATAGCAGTCTTCATGTGACACATTCATCTTTGGTCCTGGGATTTTGGTTGAGGAATTGTGTCTTGGACTTCAGAATGAACATGTACCTTTAATACATATGTAGCATGGTAAAGCACTGTATTTTGATAGCTGATAAGTTACCAGTTTAGTATTGCATAAGTGGTTACAACCTGAACTCCTATTCCAACTCTGCTGCACTCTCTTGCTCCTTGACCCTGCATGTTCTCATCATCCCAACGAACATGCTTCCATGTTACTTTTTCTGTCCCAGTGGGTCTCCTTTATTGCACCCAAATAGCAGTGAAAGATAGACAGTGTTGTTTGTCTTTCAAGCTAAATTTTGTCCATACTGGGAAATGGTATTCCCTAGTTTCTAGGAAAATACCTCCATTTATCATTTACCAGCATTGTCTTTTGAGTATCCACCAACTGTATTGTGTGAACCATTCTTTGGAATAGTGTTGCATATCTGCTGCCCTTTGTAACAACTTTATGTTAAACTGAAGGACAGGTTAGAAAGATTTTTTTTTTTATTAACACTTCTGATTTCAGAGCCAAGTATGTGAATCCTGTGGAATTGGAATGCATTTACCTTGTGTCAGAAAGTACTTCAGAGCTCAGACTGAACCACGCTGTCCACAGTGTAATGATTGCTGGACTTGTGACATTCCAGGTACCAAGTGAGCTATTTAAAAAAAAAAGTGTGTAATAATACTAGAGAATGGACTGTGATATTCAGTGGCACTGCCTGTATTACTTATAGCTGCAGTTGAATATCAGTTATTTCTGACTTCAGTTGTATGCTTCAGAAAGTAAACCATACATGGGCAACACTGATCCCTGAAAGTGCAAGGATTATGCTTTGTGGTCCCTAGCAGATCCTATGCATATTGTTTCTAACGTTATTCAAGTGTGGAGGTGGGGGCAGGAAGTAGGGGACAGACACAACACATGACACTAAAACTTCTGGAAATACTGAGCTTCTAAGAGGAGCACAATCTTGTAATTCCACTATTTAGCCAGGGAAATTGGACATTCTGAACAAGAATAAATAAAGCATTTTAAAAATCTGGAGGTTATACAATCTAATTTTTTTTTGTGTCATTCATTAACCCTCCTTTTGTTTTCTTTGCAGGTATGAGTCAGATAGACTCCCAGTCACCATCAAAAACAGGGAGAGCAGAGAAAAGCTTCATTCTCAGCACTAGGCGATGCTAGTAAAACATGCTTTCAGTGAAATCCTTTTTTCCTCCCTCTCACAAAATAGCCAGACTGTATTGTATTAATTAGTAACAGTGCATTGTTCAGGGTACTTCTTTTTTCCTTAAGTTTTACAAATTTTACAATAAAACTATCACTGACCTTCCTGTTTGTCATCTTCAGTTATGCCTGCACAGCTTTCTTGGAGGCTGTTTTGTGTATGTAGTTCTCTACATTCTTGGGTTGGGACTCTCAGTTCATGTTTGGGAAAGAAAGATGCAAATATTTTTAGTCAGTCCTGCAAACTGATCTATGCAGGTGAACTATTAAAAGCTTTTCTCAGCCCCAGTATTTCCTGTTTGTACAGTTGCAGCTGCACAACTGAAAATAACTCCTGTTACTAGCACCACAGGGCTTCAAGTAGGTGAAAAATCAATGCAGCACTTGAGGTCTCCTCACTAAGGTGGCTGGCTGAATATCTGATTTAGGGTTAGAGTTTGAACGCTTTCAGTTGGCACTGTTGCTTGGGTTTTGTCCCTCCTTTACACACAGAAGAATTCATCTGACATAAGGCCAGGTCACGAGCAGCTCTGCTCAGTAAGAGAGGGAATATTCCCACAGTCAAAACAATTATGAAGGAGTAGGACAAGACTTTTGGGGCAATGCCAGCTTATGCCTGCAAAGCGTTGAAAAAATTACCATCTTATTCTTTTAGTTTTTAGTATTAGCACTTTACTCTCCAGTTTCATGTGAGAATCCTTTTTCCTTTAAGGGTGACTTGCAAAAAAGACAAGGGCTAGGTATTGCCAGGTACCAGAATGGAATGTCAGCATATCTTTACCTTGGTAGAAATGTGTTGACAGTTTGCAGAAGGCAGAGTGTCAGCAGGTCAGCTGATGGTTAATCAAAATATGATTAAGCTTCAGTTTATTTAACTGCAATTAACCTATGGATTAACTACAATTAATTATGTTCCTAGGCCTTGGCACTATTAACTTTTTCCATACAGGAGACTGGTATCTTGCTTTACGTTAGCTTTTTGGTATTGAACCATTAGGTAGCACCATCCCTCATTGTTTATCTAACTACAATTTCTACTGTTAGTAAATCCAAGTAGAAGATAACACTAACCTGATGTTCCAAATACAGTTTGAAGAGGGGTGCTGGCACTGTGCATATATAGAGCTGTTTCAGATGTACACATGCATATAAGATGATGACTTAACAGATACTCTTTATGAGGAGTTCATATTAGAAACACCCACAAATCTTCTTTCCCTTTACCCATCCAGATTCTTTCACAATGCTGAAGCAAGAGTTTGTTGGGTTTTTTTTTCAATCAGTCTCTAACCTCTGGATCGGGAAGAACATTCTCAGGCTTAAAAAGAATTCTCTTGTGAGAAAATGCAAGATGCTACTTTTCCTGATTTTTATTTGCTATTACAATGCTAGCAGACTTCATGCATGCTTCAGAGCTATGACCACCAGAAACTGACAGAGAAGCTGATATCAAGCGATCGTACATAGTGCCAATATTTAACTGGAATAAACAGAACCTGTCCAGGCATCAGAATACAGGACTGAAATGCAGCCTTTCTGAAATTGGGGAACTTAACTAAGTCAGGATCTTCCACATCAACCTATAAAAAAAAAAAGTGTCATCAGTAGAATGTCTACTCAAATATGATTTGATAAAGTAACACTACTGGTATTAGCAGCTCAAGCAATTATTTACCTGACTAGTGTTGTGAAGAATTTGGCTTTCATGTGGGTACAAGTTTTCTGACTCTTGTGGTGAGTATAGACGGATATACTTTCTTCCATATACCTGTATATATTACAATAAATGTTTTCCATCTGTCATTGACCTGCACATTACTGGAAACTGTGGGGCATAACTGGCATTTAACAGTAAAATATACCCGATCACAAGAAACATCATTATCTCTGTTAGTAATAAACAGACACTGCTAAAATAAAAAGTTAAAACAAATCAGGCTATTGGAATTCAACTACCTGTTCACTTGGTGCAAATGAGAATTTGAAATACCAGGAAATGCCTGTAACCAAATTACTTTAAATGCAAAGTTTAAGGCACCCACACAGTATTATTTGGGCTCTACATAGAAAGTAATTATAAGAACTGAGAATAAGGACATTTGAGTTTTCAGTGCAGTTCACATCATCAGGTAGAGGTACCAGCACAGAGTGCCTGCTTCCATATACTCCTTTAGCTCTTCTGTGTCATCATTAAATTAGTTTTTTCATTGGAGTGCTAACTGAAATACTAGAATTCGTAAGACAACTGGACTGCCTGACCTGAACACTACATGGAATTGCAAGTTGTCAGTGCCTAGAATGAAGTGGCAGAATAAGAGTCAAAGCTGACTCCTGCACTGATACCAGTGGAAGGCCCACAGAAGGCACAGGGTGAGTAATCATGCTGCTTGTGCCAAGGTTCAAGATCTCTTCAAGGGCCAGGCATGATCGTATTTGTTTGGAACTATCACATTAAAGAGTAAGTCAGTATTCTGACTAACCACAGTACCCTGGACTGGCAGTGTGCTACCAAACTATTCCTAATCAAGCTGCTTGTCCTCTATCATCTATATAACATAACAGGATTTCCTGAAATCTTTTCAGTACCCAAGTTGTAACGCTAGATGTTCCAAGGTTTTTGCTTCAAGGACAGCACATAAATGTATTGTAAAGGCTGGACAAGTATCAATACTCCTGCCCTATCCTACTCTTTACTAACACTGGTTAAACTACTAGAGCATTGAGTTAACTGTGGCTGTCCATGTGTTTTTAGGATACCTTCCATACACCAAAGTGATTATGGATATTAATTAGCTCTCTAAAGAACCAAGTGTTATTTTTAGTGATGTATGGAAGTAAAGAAAACGTTGATTGTTGGACAGCACATTTTCTAAATCCTTGAATTGGGGTGGGGGGGGCAGTGTTACCCACATTAATAGCCGTGAGCTATTAACAGCTCCTTCCTCCACTTGCCTTGCTGGGTTAAAGCCTTGTATATTGCAAGGTTGAACACCCAAGTAATGGTCAACAGCCTGCATCTCCAGATACTGGTTTCCTCACTAACGGAAATACTATGATCTCTGCAGCAGCTACTACCCAGCCAGTAGGGATCAATCCATTTTGTTACTTGTACTTGCACCTTCCTGTACTCCATAGCCACAGTTTAAATGGCATCAAGAGGCAGGGCAATTATAATTAAAAATTGAAAACTGCTGGCTCCCCTGCTGTTCAAATTTCAAACTTTCTTACAGCGCTGACAGATACTCTCCCATTCTTTAGGCAGAAGAATAAAAGTGCTGAAGTTTTTAAGGGAAGTATCTTTTCCCAGTCCAACAGCTCCTATAATGGGACTTCCACCAAAAAAAAATTCCTGGCAAGCTTTACATAGCGTGTATGGTAGGATACTTTGCTTTCAGAAAGCAGGTGGGTGGGGGTTAGTGGGGAAAAGAAATATAATATGCACATAACTGTACAGCAGTTATAGAAACCCACTTTAGGAAGACCTGAATTAAGCCTCAGTTCCAAGTGAAAACACAGGCTAGCAAGATGCAACTGTTTGGGACAGAGGAACTAAGTCTCAACCCATAAATAAGCACAAATAGAAAGTATTCAATGTCATGATCCTGCTGGAAAATGTTTGAAAGTGTAAGCCATATTTTCTTTAAAGAGTCTGATGGCATGGAGGAAAAAAGGGCAATCCCCTTCCAGCAAAAAAACCCTCAGTGTTTGAACACGTACAGTGGACCAGGAATATGTCTTTGGACTTGTATAGTGCTCACCAAAAAGTGCCTCAGTATTTTACCGTGTTACTCTGCACTAGAAGTCATCATCAAGAAGTCTACCAACAGTAACTCACTTAGCAGCAATGAGGTCACAGTGCAAATATTACTTCATCTGACTCTCAATGCATGCACGAGTAGATATTTTACTGGGTAACCTGAAGTGGACTGAAGTATGCACCTAAGTCTACCCCAAAATCTTGCTGCTCCAAAGAAGGAAGTTCCTTCTCTGGTACATAATACACTATGACAGGATCCAGGTTCTTTCCAACTCTGTTACAAATTCCTTGCATGACCTCGGAAAAGCTGCTTCTTGTGGTTTCCATTTAGCATCTGTAAAATGAGGATAAGTAATAGTCTATCTCCATGAGAAGTGCTTGTGGCCTACAAGATTACATTGAGTGTTAAGTTGCAGTAGTGACAAATGCAATAGCAAAATAATACCTGCATATTCTCTATCCTTCAATTGTTTATCAAGTTGTCTGCTACCCTTGTCTCTAACGCTTACATATTGTAAGCATTTTTTCTAGCTATAGCATTAATGGCATGCGTAGAGTAAGTAAAGTACAGACCTGGGCTAAAAAATTTTGCTGGGGATCCTGATGAAGAGGTGAGATAGTGCCCTCTGGACCAAACCAAGCGTTAATGGTGATGTCATCTTCTTCTCCTTCCCCCAGACAGCAGTAGTCAGGGATACTGATATCCTCTTTCAACTCTGGGATCTACTCCCATAAAGAAATAAACATTAAAAAGGGTATGTGCTGACTTGACAAGGGTATGTAATTCACAGAACAGAGGAACAAGGCTTGACACAAAGAAAACACTAGACCTGCTTGTCCCGGAAAGGCAAGAGGGAATTAGCTGAACTGCTGGGAATCTGCAGGAAATATCCTCACACCTTCTGTCCTAAACAAGCAGATTATGTTGGAAGGAGAGGTGGGAGAAAGAAAGGGGTTTCTCATTCTTCAAAGACCCTTTGCTTTAGCAGAAACCAGAGAAACCCACAAGAATAAGTAGGTTTGCTGTTCATGGAAAAGGAGCAGCTTATCTTTTATACACTAAACTTGCTTCTCTCCAAGATTCCTTTTTACGTCTCACACCAACCTGATCTCTGATTAACTGGAATGACATTTCAGAATACGGTGAACATATCACCACTGAAGACTGTTTCCTGTCCAAATCTCTTCCCT